TAAAAGTTATAATCTTCATTTGATTTGCGAACTTTTTGGTCGATTGGGATTGTTGCGATTTCTCATTCCGAATGAAAAGTGTCATAGAATCCACCGAATTCGTTGAACTTTTCATGAAATTTTTACGAGGATGGAATGAGAAATTGATGAGCAATTCATTTTTATCGGTTGTAATGTCCTTTCGCTTTTCAATAATTTACGAGAATGTTTACAATAATCTGTTTGGATTGATTAATCGATAATGTGAATAATAATGTGATCTTTAAATGTTTCACGATAAATCATTTATTGATTATTTGGTCATCAAATACAATGATAATAATTCTAATAGTAATACTGATAATAAGGGTCACAATATCACATCACAGAAATCATTAACAATACATTCTTCTATCATCGTATTTCGTTTGCATTCTGCTCAACCAACGGTCTTAACTATGCATTATGAAATTGTGTATCCATCCATCATTACCAGTCTTCATTACAACTGTTTGATCATCACCGGAGTGATAATTAACACCAAAACCAATCAGTAGTTTCATTGTTTCGCCCAGTTCAACCGATTTCCAAACTCGGTTAGGTTGAAATCGGCTGAACTGGGCGAAACAACGAAAGCTGATAGTTAATCTAAGCGTAAGCCTGAGCATTAACCCCCCCCCCCTCCCCTTCCCCTCNCCCCTCCGTCCCCCTCCCTTCTCCTCCTTCCCCCCTTCATTGGAATGCTTTAAGATGAAAATTGGATTTTTCATGTTGCATTATCAAAATTGTGAAAATTTTTTAATTTTTTGCATTCTTTCGAGTATTTCAAATTTTGAATTTGACCATTCAAAGATACACACCGACATTGTTGACTGCGTTCAAAGCGAATTAATGCCGACTGCATTGGGAGCATCGCATCAATTGAACATTATCACCAGTCAATTATGAACATACTAGGCAAAACTTTTCATTTACAAATAAACAGTCGTATGATGCATGATAAATTTAACGATAAGTTTTGCTGAATGACGTACTTCGAGATGTTTATTTGAAGAAACTGTGGAATTTTATTATGAAGTTTGCAAATATTTGTAGGTGTGTACTAATGTTTGCAATGAATGATGTTGTAAGAAGGAGTAATGAGCTTAGAGGTGGTACATAAACCTGCAAAACTGATACGAGTAAAGTGGACTGCGATAATAGTAAGAGACAATAACAATAATGATAGTTACTCATAATCGTTAGCAGTATATTGCTACTACTAAGTTGACATGGGAAGCAAATTTAAGATGTAAACAATTTCATAAAAACAATTTCATGGAAGGTAATGCAAACAATTTGAATGAGGAATTTATTATGGCTGCGATTCGTGCATTTTTGTTGAACAAATATAGCGACGAAATACGAACAGCTCTTCGAAAATAAACATGAAAAGTTTCATTACTGAAAACTTCTTCGAGTAGTGTCGAAGAATGGATCACTGATGATGAGTTTGAGTAACTGCGATTGTTGTTTAGGTCGGTAAAATCATCTCACGGGGCTAGACACTTCATAATGGGTTCAAGTCAATAGAATTTGTTTGTAATAGTGTATAGAGTATTAGGTTGGTAAAATCATTTCATGGGGTTGGAAGCTCAAGTATGAGTTAAATTCAATAGAATGTGTTCGTAATAGTAACTCTGATTGTTGATAACTCTTGAATTGATTGTGAACACAATGTGAATACGGTGTTAATATGAAATTATAGGGTCAATCTTGGTCAACTGATCGACTGATTAGTATAACTGAATATCAATATAAATATATGAACACAATATGAATATGGGATAATAGGGCCAGTCTCGGCCAATTGATTGATTGATTATAAAGAATTACTTTTCATCGAAGAAACATATTGTACGTTCGCCCAATTATGAGATTAGTGGGTATGTAAATGAAAAGTTTTGAGCAGCTGTAACAACAACACCACAGAAATATTTTTTGAAGAGTGACAGACGCATATGCCCTTTGCCTATATCCCAGCCCCTTTCACAAGTGCAGATTATTCGAAGCACATTACGTGACGTTATGAGGAGGTTCGTTCCTTATTCACTCCTCTCACTGGTAAACCGAAAATAGCCACACAGCTCCATGCATTGACCTAAGTCGCAGGAGCTGCTGGAAAGAAGCCGTAAAAGGGGCTAAAACTGTTCACCACCTAAAAGTATAGTCAACCCGCTTAATGCGTACTTATAACGTATTCGCCATCACACTCCAATTAAAACAATAACCTGTAGCATCTTCAGATGGTTGCCCAGAGTACCAAACCATATGCGTACTGTCAAACTTGCTTGTGGTGTGCGGTTTACGAATCATTTAGTAAACGGTATTTATTAGGATATCAAAAGTATTCAAAATAATATCACACTACAACCGTAAAAACGCATACACCGATGTACAACGACTTGAATCACGAGGCTGTCACAGATAAAGTGGAAGTTAAAAAGTACTCCATCTATCCTTCGCATCACGGCCATCCAGCGCGTCAATGTAAGCAACCCGTCTTGAAAAAATTTTATGATGCGCTCGATTATGACACTGAACGTATTCGCTGACAACGTGACAGCCAGCGACAACTCGCTCACATTGCACAGTTCTGATGAAAATAACATCCTCGATCAACTCATAATTGATCATCTAACCCCGTAAAATGATTTTACCAACCTAATCAACAATCACAGTTACTCTGTACACTATTAAGAATACGTTCTATTGACTTGAACTCGTTATGAGGTGTACAATCCCGTAAAATGATTTTACCATTCTAATCAATAATCAGAGTTACTCTGTACACTATTACGAACAAATTCTATTGACTTGAACCCGTTATGAGGTGTACAACCCCGTAAAATGATTTTACCAATCAGATCAACAATCACAGTTACTCTGTAAACTATTACGAATACATTCTATTGAATCTAACTCATATTTGACCATCCAACCCCGCGGAATTATCTTTCGAAACAGTTCAATATCTAGATTTAACAGTCATTTGTCTGACCTTTTATCATCGGCTATGCTTAGGCCGAGGCTCAGCCTCAGCCTAAGCATAGCCTCAGCTTCAGCCTAAGCATAGCCTCAGCCTCAGCCTCAGCCTAAGCATAGCTTCAGCCTCAGTCTAAGCGTGAGACTGAGGCTTCGAGCTTAGGTTTGAGCTGTTTGAGAGAGCAGCCGCCAGGCCGTGCCTACTGCGCATCACCATTATAGTGCTGTTGCGTGTGCGCATCCTCACCGTTCCCCACTAAGTGCCAATTACCTTGTGGTGAAAATTGGTACAGATTATGTCTCCACCGGGATTTGGTACAGCTCATCGCTTAAGTCGGTGCATTGTAGTGATCAAGATGGCGAGCAAACGAACACATGTAATATTCACTTATTTATTCGTTAACAAATCGCCAAATTTCGGGCAATTAACGTCACCATCAAGAAAACGTAGATTTTAGTTAACAACAAGTACATCGTTCTATGTAGTGTTGTGCGNTGATAAAAATGCTACAACTAGGAAGAATCAACATAGCAAATAACGACTAGTCTCCAGGTGTTGGAGGCTGCGAGCCGCACGCAGCGCTGATACGTTCCAAGCAAGTCGAATCAATGATATAGCTTAGATAGCGTGCGATATTAACTTCTAGTCTGCACATCGCATCGCCGGAATCCGTTCCGCAACTGTTGCCGTAAACCTCACCGGCACATTGCGCACTGACTACAAAACCGCTGAAATGGGAATTTTCACAGTAAAAAAACACCAACCAATGAACATGAAGTTAGGTGTAGGGAAGGAAGAGGAGGGAGTGAAAAACATAGTTACTCGAGGGCAAATTGAAGAGTTTCCTATACGAATATCTGGTATGATTAAAGTCAATTACTCGCAATCATCTACAGAGTAGAATCCGCTTGCTTCACATTGCCATAATCGTTGCCGCACTGTTCGATTGGCTGTAACTTCGTCTATACACTGCTCATTTGCTTCGAATACTGAAAAAATACAAAAATTAGAAAATTTCACGAACAGTTTACAAACGGAAATTTGCTTGAAGTTTAAGTAGTGTGAATATTCACTCGATAGAGAATTAGTTTCGTCGAGTCACGTTACTGCTCATAAATCAAGAACATATAGAAGTGTGGGGTGGAAGCAGCTTGAACATGAAAATTCAAGGCGCCACTCCATAGAACTTAAGCTTAGGTACAGGAAGAGAAGCGCCAAAAAGAACTTTTGCTATTCTCCTCACCTCTGTAACCACTGCCGCATACATATTCAAATGTTGCAAAGGTCAACGAGTATCGCATCGCAGAGACAGGGTCCCGAGTCAAATTCGCAAAATTCAGTCCGGTTATGCAATCCGGCATCGAAGAACCAGCGATACCTGTTTCAATACAGTTGTGCAAACTACTGTATGGCCTGCAAAAAGTTTCGTGACTCTATGTAAACCCGTGACAGTCACTAACGAAATTAACTAAAAATGCAATAATGATTTGCGAGACACTACTCATCAACAAATGAGGAGAACGTCTTACAGATTACCATTGACCAATGATTTTTATGGGGTGGAAATACCGTTTTGAGGAGAACTTGAGAATGTTGCAGAGAATTGAAAATGTTGTTGAATTGATATTGAGCGATTCTTTTTCTATGCTTCTTGCAAATTTTCGCAAAAATGCTTCAAAAATGTTTCTTCGATTTCATTCGACACGTTCCGTATGAGTTCTACAGTGTGGCATCTGCAGTGAATGAGAATACGCTCTAAGGTGGCTACGAACCGGCATTCACTTTGCACGGAATTGCTAGTGTTTCTGAGTGCCCGGAAAAAAGACACAATTGGTGGGAACTTTCCCGATGAACCGATTTCGAGGCGATACACTTGGAAATAGCTACGATAACATTCGCGAATCACCTGAAATTGCAACTGGTTACTACAACTTCAAAAAACTATTTTCAGAGTGCCATAAGCAAAGAAAAACTTCAATTTACTCGCAAATTTGCATTCGGTTTAAAGGTGAACTGAACCAATGCTTGACGCTCCAAAACAGCCACATGCAATATCATTCAATTACATGAGCTTGCTTCAATATTCTTCAAGCATTTCGTTCACGTTTGTTAAAAACGATATTTGTCGGTATTTTTCCCTGTACTTATTTGTAAACTATGTGATACTGTTGGTGTGCATTTGCAATCTCTCAGAAAACAAGAACCGAATACACGTCCCACATCGTACGACTCGAAGTAACTGACTGAAAATTCAGTGCGACTCTTCAAAATTCTTCCGACATCCACTTACTTCGGTTAGGTTATCTGGACAACTCGTTGTGGCGAATGTTGCGTTCTCACTGCGCACAGTAGAGAGGTGTTGTTGGGGTCGTAAGCTATCGACTACACCTCTAAACACATTCAGACCTTTCGAGGCAATAAGACTCTTGAACTGGATGCCTGAGACCAGCTGGAGCAGTACTGCAACACAAAAATTACATTAGGTCTACTCATTATACAAAAATTAGTGTAAAAAGCAAAAGTGCTATGAGTTGTCTAGTTGTGCATGTTAAAAACGATCTTTATCGGTACTGACGAACCCACCTACTTAGAGCTTACTTACTATTAGGCATCGGAGAGAGAGGGAAGGGGGTTCACCTCTTCTATTCAAGTAATGGCAATGATGAGTGGATTTTGTGGAGCATTGAGAAAGAAGGTTAACGGCTATCTTGAGATGGTTAAGCATGCGACCCTTTGGCCATGGCTATGGACACGAATTAGATACTTATTCGTGCTTAAGGGTCGGAGATGAAATGAATAAATAGTAAAAACCACAAGCTAGAGGTGCAAAATTGCAAAAATCCAATTACCGAATAGGATAGCAACGATCGGCACTGTTGTTGGTTTGGATTGGAACATTTTGAGTTGACAACAGAAAATGAATGTTGCGCTTCGAAGTGACTCTATTTAAGCACTGGCTACGTTGAATTAAATCGGAGAACACTCACGCCCAACCGAGGTATATCATGGGCAGCACGAAGTTAAAAGGCTTTTTATGAGAGGTGAGAAGGTATCGTTGTAGTAAGGCAAAAATGAGAAGGATACAGACAAACACGAAGGCGACGACCTATATTTGTAAACATTTATTGAAATGGACGGATGCCTAAGATTTAAGATGTTTTGACATTATAATGCTACAATGAGCGAAGTACAAATAGATAAGAAACTAGATGAGCCATAAAGCACATATAAGTGTAGATGTGGATCAGGTCTGGATGCTTGCACGGCGTAACATCACCGTAGTGATGATAAAAATGCTGAGAATGAAAACAACAAAATATTAATAGATAAGAAACTGAACGAGCAACCTGAGTAATCATACAGGCAGCAGCATTTTAAATTCTGGAAAAAGCATCAACAATACGAGACCTGTACAACACAGATATAACATCAACAATTAAATTTTTTGCGACAATATGTTAAGATTTTCTGTGAATAACTTTAATAGACTTACGTTCAGTAGTTTGTGTCTGAGAAGAAAGGAACTCACACGTGTTCCTCGACAACATGTTTCTNACGTTCAGTAGTTTGTGTCTGAGAAGAAAGGAACTCACACGTGTTCCTCGACAACATGTTTCTTTCGAAATTCGCAAATGCTTCAACCTGATTAAAATTGCATGGTAGAGATTACAGAATTCGTAAATTAAAAATTACTAAAACAACTGAAATTGAATCGTCAATGAAACCAATGATCATCAACATTGTAACAAAGAATGGAATTAAAATTTACAGGCTAACAACTGATAGAATGCAATGAAAGTTGAAATAAGCTTTGAAAAACGACAACGTTCGTCGTTGAGTCACTCATTCGCGTTCTATTTTTACAGAAAAAGGAAATACATAGAAATCTCGTTCATTTTCGATGCTTCTCAGTTTTCATCGATCTGAGCGATTGTAGCCAGGATCGTCCATATGTCTCATCAAATGCATTGAATTTGGTATTCTGCGCTCGTTAATCGTCACTAGAGGTGCATGCAGAAGAAGGAGAAGAAGGAAATTATTGGCGATATTCGTGAAACTCCGCATTAAAATCAGTAAGGCTAATTTATGAATTTATTTTTTCACGGAACTTAGCTGGGTTTAGGATTTATTCAGCCTGCGTTTATTTCGACTCAGGCTCATGTTTTCACTCAGACTCAGGATCAGGTTTAGCCTTTAACTAATGATGGTGCTCCGCGAGACTTCATTATGGTGGACGATCGGTTCCATTTCATTTATACTGTTTTACTGACGCTTTGTGGACAATACATTGAAGTATTTCATTTGTATATCAGATAAATCTTGGAAAATATGTGAAACATTAATAAAACTTAATGTTGTTTAGATGGAATTACCCATTTTGTATTCTGCTAATAAACGTTGATTGACTTTCGATAGGCGAATATTGAAATACATTTTCAAAACTGAATTATTATATTACTTATTGCTAGTATACTGCTGAATTATAGTAGCTGTATAATAATATTAACATATAGGCTGTAGAAGTGATAAGCTTTCAAAAGCATCCACCTATCTTCACCTCCCTCCCCCTCTCCGCCTTCTTTCGTCTGTCTCCCATCCCCATCTCTCCTTCTTCCCCTTTGGCTTGCCCTCCACCCATGTCCCTTCTGTCTGAGGATAAGTTCAAAAGTGGATAATGCGAACACTCATGCGGTATATGGAGTGTTGTTTTTATTGTAAGGAAACTCATTTCTTACGGCAATGTTGTGTGAGCACTTTGAAAGAAAACATTTCGACTTTCCATCCCATATATTCATACCCTTCAAAGGAGCAAAGAATCGGCATTCAGTACTTTTTATGAAATCTCAGCTAAAAGTCGTCTAATTCCCCCCCGGAAAAAGCCGGCAGAGTATGGTCGGAGTTCCGTGACGCGGATTACCAGCGAAGAGTTTTGTAATTCGGTCGGAATTCCGAATTTCGGAATGTTTAAAGTCGATTTGGTCGGATTGCGACCGAACTGAAATTTCGTTCTGATGCTATCAGCAATTAACAACGATCGTTGTTGCCAATAATAGAGTTCCCTCCGCAAAATTGTTCGCAGAATTTGCACTGTACAAAAAGACATAAAGCAAAGAATCGGCATTCAGTACTTTTTATGAAATCTCAGGTAAAAGTCGTCTAATTCCCCCTCGGAAAAAGCCGGCAGAGTATGGTCGGAGTTCCGAGATTCGGATTACGAGCGAAGAGTTTTAATCCGGTCGGAATTCCGAATTTCGGAATGTTTAAAGTCGACTTGGTCGGATTGCGACCGAACTGAAATTTCGTTCGGATGCTATCAGCAATTAACAACGATCGTTGTTGCCAATAATATAGTTCCCTCCACAAAATTGCATTGTACAAAAAGACATAACAATGAGCAAAATCAACGCAAATGTTCACAAATTATCAAACAACAATTTCTTCATCATTAACACAGCACAATCAAAATTCAAAAAAGATTTCCAACATGAATTATAAAAATCTCTTCGCGATCATCTGCATGGCGATCGGATAAAGTTCATGTTCTTTAGTCTTTATTCGTTCATGCAAACTTTCAACTGTATCATTTTCATAAACCTTCACTGATTCTTGAGCGATTATTTCACCCGAGTCGACTTCTTCCTTCAATATT